GGGGGGTGCTCAGGTGTTACGCAGATCTTGTTCGCCTCACCAAGCCATGCAGGAGTTTTGGTTGCGTGTTCTCAACCAAAACTGTCCTAATAAAAGTCAGCCTGCGTGGCGGGGCTGACGGAGTGAGAGATAAGCATGTAATGGCAGCCATGCTGGCAACTTTTGGGTCGTTTCAGGCACAGTAGTCTTCTGGTGCTTCTCACTTAGTATTTACATTGAAGGCGAACACTTCAGCTGGGTTTCTGTACGTCAGCAGGCCTCGTTGTCTCCTACTACAGGGCACCTTTTTAAAGGACGATTCACCGTAAGAATGAAGAGGCAACTCAAGAGCCACCTTTCCTATTTGATTCACTCCTGTGTTTATTGACTTCTGATGGTATTAAGTGTTCTATTCCTCATAATGTTATATGTTGTTTATCTCTGTTCATTGTTTTTGGTTTGAGAAGTAAGTTGTGTTAACGTTGGTGCTATATAAATAAAGTTTGATTGACTGATTGATTGAATAACAGGAATGACAAGGTGTTTTTCTGAGTTTAAGATTATATCACATTGTTAATCTATGGATTTCACTCCAATACTCTTCAGATTGTATAATGGACATATACTTTAGTTGCAGGCAGGTATTGTGCAGCCAAAAGTCCAAAGATGTTCAAGGATACCAAAGATATTCAATTAAGAATCCAAGAAACTACGGAAAAGCAGTGAATTTGCTGAGGATTTGGACTTTTACTGATACATGACCGAAATGGTTAATAGCTGTTGAAAGGTTTGTCTTTTGACCAACTAAGTGACTAATCAACTAACCATTACCGTGGTAGTAGTTGTGTCAGTGGGTAAAGGTGCGGATTTTCATTAAAAAAAACAAAAAAGTTCACAGCCAAATAACCAGTCGGAAAAAGAAAATGGAAACTAGAGAAAACAAATGAAGTCATCACAACAGAGGTGGAGACAAGCCTGGAACTCCACGGTGACATTGAGGCCAAAATTAAACATGATAATTCACCACACTGCCAAAGAAAAAGCGCCACTTCAGCCCCATGTTTCCCCCCATAATGAAGACTCAATCATTGATCTTTCAATAGGCAGGCAGACACACACTCACCAACAGCGCAGGAGCCAAAGAAACTTCAGACAAAGAACTGCACAACGATAAAAACTTGCATGGATTCCAGACGAAGAGATGAATTAAATGTGTTGGCGATTCAATTCGTTTTTCCCTCCTCTTCACCTCAAACCATTCCTCTCCCCCTCTAACTCTTCTTCTTCATGTTTTGTTTTTCCTGCACCGTGCTGATTGGCCCGTGTTCAGACGTGGGGCACTCCAGAGATACAGATTAGCTGGCACTTGTTTGGGCGAACACGACAAGCAGCATATGCCTCTCAAGTAACGTGTACCCAAACAAGCAATTTACAAATAATTAACGCGGTGTTAATTAGTCACATTAATTCATGCCACTTTGTTGGGATTGTTTCCCCCCGTCGCTCCCCAGGACTCCTGCCAGCAACGCCAGCCAGCGAAACGGCGAGAGCGGTTCTTCTGCTCCGAAAAACGAGAGCAGGGCGAAGAGAAGAAAGCAGGGCCGCTGGCTGATGTACACACACACACACACACACACACACACACACACACACACACACACACACACACACACACACACACATTTTTTATTCCTGTCTCAAAACTATCAAGAAACCGATTCTTAAAAACCCACAAACGAACTCGTTAAAGATGAACCAGCACAACAACACATACAAAAAAAAAATTAACGCACAGTTTATTAATATACCGACAGCCCTTTGTTAAACAACCCGAGAACGTCCTTGAGACAGCAAATAAAATAGTCACGGTCTATGTAGCGAAGGGACGGGGACAGCACTTAAATACAATTAGTTTATCATACTGATAAGCGTCGACTTTATCAGGAAGTTATTTTGCGGGAGGGATAAATATTCGGTGTGTAGGTATTTGATGTCGTAAGTCTACATGTCATTTTCTTCCAAATGTATCGGAAAAAAGAAAAAATATACCTTTGATTTTGTATACACTTTACTAAACTTTGTGTGTGTGTGTGTGTGTGTGTGTGTGTTGTGTGGTGTGTGTGTGTGTGTGTTGTGTGTTGTGTGTGTGTGTGTGTGTGTGTGGTGTGTGTGTGTTGTGGTGTGTGTATGTGTGTGTGTGTGTGTGTGTGTGTGTGTGTGTGTGGGTGTGTGTGCGAGACCTGCATCACACTAACAACCCAATCTACACACCGTGTCATAAAGGTATTCCTCCCCCGAACTTAAAGTAACTTAATAAGTTATATGGGCGATATATGTATAATGAGACGGGTATAACACAAAAACTCATCCCCACGGGTCAACTGAACGGAACACACAACACACACACAAGCACACGACGACACACACACCACACCACACCACACACACACGACAACACACACACACAACACACCACACACCGGATCGTAAACTGATATGAACAACTGGTATTTATACCAAATGTGTCAGTACACACCCCCCTTGAGCGGGAGGGATAATACCCCCCTGTTTAACCTCAGGGGTACCTCCCCCTTAACAATAAAAATCCCGCACTTCTGAACCCAATCCAAATCCTAATCCCAATTCCATTCCAATTCCCATTCCCGAACTTCCGCAATCCCAATCCGTATACAAACCAAATACCGAAATCACACAACAAAGCCTTCACAATACAGTTACATTACGGGACCAACCATGAAAAAAACAAAACCTCCCGCGGATACACACACACGTCACACCACACACACGACCACACAACCACACACACACACACACAACCACACACACACACACACACACGAACACACGACACCACACAC